GCGACAGAATGATGCCATGGAAATGCATGTAGAAATTGAAGCTCATAAAGCTCAGCACATAGAAGGATAGAACCAAGTAGAGGATAACGCAGGCGCCTGCAACGAAAATATGTAAAGCGAGCGAGCGAGCGAGCGTGAGTGAAAAACAAAATAAACCCAATCACAAACTTACGTAGATTAATGCAGGCCAGCTTGGAAAACGTGGCTGGATCTGTGAGTGTGAGGTGAGCCAAAAGCGAATAGCCGATGATGACGCACAGCGCGTAGACTTTGATGGCAACGCCATAGAAGGTATTGCGTATATCGGTGCAAAAGAGATAGACAAAAAGGATGATGCTCATACAGATGACGGAGAGAATTAAGCCTGTAGAGGAAATAAAAAGCAATAAGTACTAAATTTAATAAAAATAAATATCGAGTTATTGCTTTCCCATGCGATACTGGTTAGAGATTTGGAGTGGTTTTCTTTTCAAACTACAAGCTCTCATTCTTAAACGTACGCTCTCTTTCTTGTAGTCCTCCCGGCTCGCATTCTTCCTCCCACTAATCCTAATGCTTTCCTCTTTCTCTCTGTCCTATCAATCTCCACAAATCCGTTTACATATGATCCGCATTGTCTTCAATTAGTCAATAGTTAGACTCCTCCTAAAAGGTAAATTTCTTACACGAAGAGCTGGCTGAAAGCTCACAGCCAGGGACCGAACATAACGGTTATTGTTGATGAAAACTGTCTTGAAAAAATTCACTATGAAGGAAATGTTCTCCAACTAAGTGATACATACTAATCGATTTCTTTTTTCACCGAGACTCAAATTTGAAAATAAATTTTTATTTGCAATTTTTATGCAAAACTAAATAAAAATAACAATTATTTTTGATTCTTTTATTATACATCCAAGATAACAATTATTTTAGATTTTTATATTATATGTCTTAAATAACAGTTATTGAAGACTTTAAAAAATTTAGCTCAGTGAATGATTTTTATTTATGACTTATAAATAAATGTCTCCGGTAACTGGTATCTAAGACATAATTTAAAAATCAAAAATAACTGTTATTTGCAGATTATTAATATAAAAATAAAAAATAATTGTTATTTTGGGTTTATAAAATAAAAGTCAGAAATAACGGAGTAATTGAATAAAAGTCAAAAAATAATTGTTAAAGACCGATTTTTTTAATAAAAGTGGTAACTGTTAAGCTGCTTGCCCACAGCCGATACGCTGTACCGGCGAGGATCTTCATTTAACGGGAAGTTCTTTAGTGACATACAGTAAACTGAAGAGTCATTCTTCTGAGAATTTTTGTTCACTAACTCTTCTTGTAATTAGAAACATAAAGGTATTAGAGGTGAAGTAGGAGAGGTCTAATAAAATAACCGATTTTTTTATTCGTAACGCAGGGTTGGCAGACTAACGAAAAAGATCTAAAAATTAAGATTTCTCAGGTAAACCAAGAATGGCGCTTTCAGTCTAATAGTAACGATTTCAATTTTCGGAAGCGTATAATACGCACTCAATCATCATTTCAAACTTCCATAAACCTACTAAATTTTTTGCTCTCTTTCAAAGATTTTCAAAATCAATTTCACGCCAACCGATTACTCACAAATTGCGTAGGTCCATTCTTTAGTGCCTAAGACGAAAGCTAATTTTTTGGGTACACATGTCAGTGGCTGCCAATTCCAAGTGGAGTTGTCCCGCTGGTGTGGGGTGTAGCAGTAGTAGTTCGAGACTATGTAATTCCCGTGCGCAATGGTGCCATTCTGTGAAAACAAAAGCACAAACCGATAGCACAAATTAACAAACGTACTTAAGCCAACACGCGTGGTAAACGATATTTAAACAGTCCGCGCGCGTACATTCGCCTGGCCGCTGTATCACTGAACTTTATGTACCTCGAAGAGCGTCCAAGACACCAACTCGCCATTCCTTGGCACGAAGCGCATCCGCTGACAGGGCACGCCGATATACACAATGAAATGCTGCGCTGTCTTAACCAAACGCGACCTGCCGTTCGCCCCCAGCACCGCCACCTCGTTGTGATCCAGGCCGGTCAACTCGAACGCTACGCTGTATTGGCTGTCATTGAAGACGTCGTCGGCGGCATCGATGAGGCGCGCAATGGACAGGCATGACTTGCTAGCCGTGTCATAGTAGTAGCCCTCCTGGCAGCAGAAGCGTATGCAGGGCTTCAGTTTGCAAATGCAGGCGCGCAGATGACGCTCCACCTGCACACGCACCCCATCTTGGATGACAAAATCATAGGCAGCAATCAGTTCGCGCGGAATGGCGTTGATGCCGAGACTGCGTATAAATGCGGTGTTGCTGTTGTTGTTGTTGTTGTTGTCGTTATGCTCCTGACGATTGCCGTCCGCGATGGTAGTGTTGGTGTTTACACTATTTGTCATGTTGTTGTTGCTTTGGCCATTGGTTACTGCGGCAGTGTCGTAGATTGGCGGTTGCTCATACGCCCAGGGAGTGCCGGTCACATTGATGGTGTCGATGAAGGCGCACTGATGTCTCACCTCCGCCGCCGCCGGCGCGCCAGATGCAGCCATTGCGCCGCAACAACAAAAACAGCTGGCGATGATGACGACGATGAAGGCAGCCATTAACGGCCAACGATTTGTTGCCAAATCAAATCGAACAGATTTAATTGCTCTCACTAATGTTGGCGCGTACATTCCCTCACTGGCTCTGCCTTTGTTTCTTTTTTTGCCATTGTTTTGTGTTTCACCCGAAGACATTTTTAATTGAGTTCGTATTTATTTATTCAAAATGTTTATTTTTGCGATTTGCGTTTGTTTAATTGTATCAACACACGCGTGGAGCGATCACACACACAATGCGACGGAGTATATGTATGTATGTATGTACGTTCAAAGATGCATTAAACATTTATGTGGAAATGGATGAAGAAAATTGCGGCCGCACAATTCAACTCCGAAAACACGAATGATTCGAAATTCTCCAGAAAATGTTCGCCTCAGCCTGTGGGCGAGCGGCCTGTTTCACGTTCATAGAATTCGCAAATAAACGCCCGCACAGTCTGCTGGTCGACGACCGTGAACAGCCAAATTAATGCCAAATGTACTGTGTGTATATAGACAAAGCTGTGTGCGGCATAGATCAGATGGATAATCTCCAATCGAAGTGATTATGACGCTATTCAAGGCGGCTCACTTTCGACGCTTCAACGACGCGCTTTACTTAATCGCACGCAACGTTCGCTCGATATTCCTCTTAACGAAAGGATTACGCTGGCTTGCACGCTAAGTTGCTTATATGTAAGTACTAGGCTACGAACTGACGTGGGGTAGGTGGGAAGGAGTTGATATTTGCCGGCATTGCCTTCCTTCCGGGCGATTAGTGCTGCTGCAATGCCAATGTCCACTCGAATCGCATGCTCGCGCTCAACTGCCGCCCGAGAGTAGTCCAATGGCATGGCCGCCCGAGACATCGCTGGCCCACACACCTGGCGCGTTGCTAAAAGCCCCATGCAACCCAGCGGGAAATTCGTAGGTGAGCGGTTTTGTGGTGCGATTCGAGTTGCGACATGCGATAAGTAAATATCTCAAAGAGGTAATTTAAAATTTAATTTTGTATCATTGCAATATAGTCAAAACTAAAGAATGACAATCGAGAAAATTTTAGGAGATTATTAAAGCAGCGGATTGTAGGCCTTAGATCTGAGTTTTAAATTCTGTCTAACTTTTTGGTTTAACCTAAATTTGGCTTAGTTATTTGTTAGGCCAAGATGTTGGAACCTTATCTTGTCGAGGGGGATTGCGTTGAGATGATTCCACACCTCGTCATGACAACAGGAGCCCGTGAATGAGGATATACTTAGGTAGGTAGCCTTGCCTAGCTAATTCCTCAAGCATATAGTTTCATGAAATGTCAATAAGAACTGGGACATAATTAGCCTCATTCGAAAGTAATCTGAGGCACTCTAGAGAGACCATCCCCGACCATTTTCAACTGGACCATGAGTGGATCTAGAGCCCTGGTATCCGCCAGCGTACCCGGCAAAAAAGAACACCAACCGTTAGTAGAAGTGGTCTCAGAAGGGTGATATAGACATGTGAAGCAAATTTTTCCTGCAGGGCAATCGGGTATACAAACACCTCATTCCATCCGTTCCAATACCATATAAATATTTTAGCACATAGTATTGTTTATACGAACATAAATATGTATGTTCATACACACATCCATACATACATACATACCATATGCAAATGCGTTCATTGTGCTTGCGATCTACGCTGCTTTGTATGTAGCTGACATGCCATGCCGTTGATACCACACAGCAGGTAAATGGACTTCCACTCGCTTATGGTTCGAATAAGCAGATATAGTACAGATTTGTTCGCACATTGTCCGCGATGGGGGGCAACTTGTGAACTTTAGGATTTTTAGTAGTTCAAATTTAAATAAACTGGCATTGAATTAAATAAACTCTGACTAGTCGATTAGGATCTTCTCTGCTAACTCCCAATAACCGATACTTAAACAAAATAGACGAAACCTTTCAGTTTTCCGATAGGATATGCATACGGTGACCATATTTATGGAGCCGAATACGGGACAAAAAATAATTTTGAACATTTCTTCCACAAAAACTTATTGATCTTAAAGCCTTCTTCAATAATCCTAGATGTATTAGCCTTGAAATAGCATCCTTGTAGTAACATCACAAATTTGTAGGAAATTTTCCCCGAGATTTTTACCCCCAAAATTAAAAAGAAACCTTAAATTTAAGTACAATAAAGTGCGATTTTGAAGTCGCTAAGACTTACCGTTAATTTTTGACCATTTTTTTTTTTTTGTTGTTGACGATGTTGAGTATCTTTTTCATACAAAGTAGGTAAGTTTGGCTGACTTCCAAAACGTCAATTGCTTTGCATACGTACAAGGTATAACATAACGTCGAACTACAAAATATCGACAATGTATACTGTTCCAAAACATAAGTTATCGAAACGCATCGCCCGAGCATACTTTGCACTCCTATCAAATTATAACTTAAAAAAGTTTTATTGCATGGCAGTAGAGAAGTGCATTCATTAATTTAATGAAGGAAATTTTTGGACATGCAGCAGGACATAGCACGAATTTAGGCGCCTGGTGTTAGCAATCGCACCTAAACAGTATTATATGGTTTTGTTAGGAAAAGAGCTTTCTTTACTTTCATAAAGAATAATATAAACGTTAAATAAACTAAGGAGAAATAGCAAAAACTTTGTTTAAATGTCGAGTCCAAGTTTCTATTTTGGCCACTGTATGTATTCCTCGAATCGAAACACAGGCAATCAGATCACTTAAAACTCGTTCATAGGCATGCCATTTTAATGAGCTGTTAAGGCATCGAAACACCGAATATGGGACAAATACAGGACATTAAAAGAAATACAGAACATTTGGCGTCCCGTATAAAATAAATAAATTGCCAGGACAACGGGTCCAAAAAGAGGACTGTCCCGTATAATACAGGACGGATGGTGACCGTAGATATGCAGCAGAAAAGCAATACCAACATGTACATATATATTTGTATGTATGTATGTGTGTACAAATACATACATATGTATGTAGGTATATGCTTACCTGTGCTACCTGCTGTACACTGTATGGCTGCACCACTATAACAGCTCAATACAAATTTTATTGCCACCTCTGACCGACCATTCGTTCTCCCTTCATTCGCCTGCCCTGTAACACAAATACTCTTAATTGGCCTTATAACAGTTGTCCTTTTGTCTCTCAAACACTTCAAGTAATTGTCCGCGTGCTACTTTCTTTTTTTTTCATTTCAGCTAACCGTTAGTTTGTCGTTTATCCGTGTATGGTTGGTCTGTTTGCCTAGCTGTCTGGCACTTTGCTAGTCTGAGAGCTTTTCTCATAACACACCTGGGACGTTCGTACATATGTATGTATGTATTCACCATCTGTTCGGCGAATAGGTTTAACGAAGGGTTAATCTTGCAAATTTAATTGCTTTGGGTCTTAGAACTAAACAACTTTGGCTATATGGAATTTAGAGGTTACGTTTTTGAATTGTAGATCGCAGAGGAGGTAATCAACTCTGTCAAATTTTTTTCTACACTTTATTTTAGTTTCGGTTGGACACGTTTCGTCACTTGAACTCTAAAAGCTCTGGTTTAAGCCCATTTTTTGCCTAGAGCTTTTTTCATGAGTGTAAGCTTATAAGCTTCTTATAATAATTTTCATTCTTACACAGAATAAAGTCCAGAAATTTAGGAAAATTTGAAATAATTAGCCATACGTCGAGGGATTTATTTTACAATGCAAAGTGTAAGCATGACTACTCTTTTTAAAGTGAAGCCTAGGGCACAGTGGGTGCTACTTTTAATAGAACTTTTATCTACGTTTTTTTATGCTATGAACCCAGTATGCATTAAACTCGGTCGCCTACAAACTACTCGTTTTTGTCTTGGTACTTTAAATACTTTTATTCTGAATATAAAATTTTTAGTTAATTTATTCACATATACAACTACGATATGATTTCGTATGTAGTATATACATACATACATATGTAAATATATAGGAAGACTTGGTTACATCTGTCCTTCATTTTTTAAATACAATTAAAAAAAAAATATATGTGAAGAAAAACCGTTTAAAGAATAACAATTTTTTGGTTAAACTTTGGATGTTATGCCCATTAATCTCTCTACTCAAATTGTACATAATTTATATAGAAATTTCACAATTTCTACCAAAGTCTCATTTCAAAGCAATATCTTCATCTTTAATCTCGTCCTTATAGCCCTCTGTAAGAAGATAAATAAGGGCAAAATTACTTCGATTGCACAACAACAAAAATTTGCAAATATATTTTCTTCATACCTTTTAGTTTGTCTGTCCGCACTTGTTCGGTGCGATAAATTTGCGTCAAATAGACACCGTTTTCAGCTCTCCCTTCCTTCCTGTAAGGCAAGTAAAATGTCCTGAATAGTAGGGGAGTATTCTGAAGCCATTTTCGTTTACATATTTTACATATTTTCAATTTTCTACTTACACATTTACATGCCACCAAGCGCGTACCAATGGGTTTTTATAAAGTAAGAATATCAGTCCACACAAGGCGAGACCGAAGAGGCAAACTCCAGTTAGGAAGTCTAAAATAAAATATCTGTTGCGCCAACGGAATATCAAATAGACAATTAGTTCGCGCATCCATACGCACATAGCGCCCAGTAGATAGGCGAAGAAGGCATAGAAACTGTAAGGCGGAAAGGGAATGGAATGAATAGAAAATGTTTAAAAGGTAAGGATTGGCTTTCGACAGCACTAAAAAAATGAAATAATAAATTTTCGAAAAAAGTGGAGTAAATGTTAGCCCAATTCATTGGAGCTTTCAAAGCAAGGTGAAACTAAAGAAGGCATAAAATAAGCTACATACAAACATACAATCGAACCATCGAGCTACCGGTCAGATGGACTACGGATATGGTCCCCTCAGATGCGCCGAAAGACTGAACGACACTCTAAGCTCAAGAAATTTCTACTAAATAGTTTTTTTGGCTTTTACTTCTGGTTAGTCCAAAGTAGACCCTTGTCAACGCGTAGCATTATTCGTGGCACATATCTATAGGAATTCGAAGATTGGATTGAACGGAAGCTTAGAAATTGCGTCATAATCCCCAGCCAATATTCAATATTACTTTCCCGTTAGCACTTCTCAAGAAAGAGCCCTATCTCTGCTGGTCTAATACTTAACAAAGGAGAAGTAAAGGTAGCCTCACATGCAGACTATGTATAAGTGGCAGTGTCAAGTCTCTTTCCCCCAAAGACTAGCGAAATCCTAGAAGCAGCGCTATTCAGGTTACACTCTCTTCAATCAAACTGAACGAGTCAAGCTATTCGAGAACCGGGGAGAGAATCAAACTACATATTGCCAATGACAGATTTGAGGAAATACTTTCGGCTGTAGTCTTCTTCAGGGCGGGATTGGAGTAGATACAGGGTAATGGACGATAACTCGACTGGCGTTTATACTAGGGTTGCCAACATTTTCTAAGAAATTTATAGTACATTAAAAAAAAAAATCTTAAAAAATTTAGTACACTTCAAATAAATATAGTATTATATATAAAATAAAAAATTAAAACGCGTTTTAAGTGTACATATTTTTTCTTTCTTTCTTAGGCATTTTTGCAATCAATATTTAAATTAATATAAATCAAAAGTTCATTTTTATTAATGAGGTAGTCGCTTTGTTTCTCTTATCTCGCCATTTGACATTCATAATAGAAAAAAACCCTTTATGTGAATGCAGAAGTTACAGGTATAGAGGAGCAGAAACGAAATAATTTTAAGAAAAATTTGGAATGGGGAAATTCATTCTAAGTATTTTTAAAAATTTTGCAATTTTTGATCTGTGGTTCTATTAACAAACTCAGTATTATCTTTTATTTTAAAGAATATTTCTTTCAGTATTTTTACTTCAGGATTAAAGCTCATCCATTTTAATATTCATTCTTTCTTGTAAATTAATGAAATATAATAATATTTATAATTAAAGAAATATAGTATTTTTGCATACTATATTTTTTTCCAGTACAATATATAGTACGCAGTCCGAAAAAATAGTACGATACTATACATTATAGTACGGTTGGCAACCCTAGTTTATACAGACCCAGGTTTGCTCTAAGAAGCTGGATGTATTTCTTTCGCTCCTTCTAGGAGTACAAAAATCATACAATTATTCAGATAGCACCAGTATCACCAATGGCAATTTTTTAAGTACCCAGAGATTTGAATTGTATGCTAACCTGGACGGCCGAATTAAAAGATATTTTTTAACTGGGTTCCCACATTCACATTCATAGTTCGTACGAATGTCTGAAATGCGATGGAACAGCCTAAGAAGCTGAAAAATTCAAAGGACATATGTGGCCGCATTATTTTAAAGATTTTGAGATGGGAATTCTCGGAAAATAGTATCGTTGGGTAGGAAAATTACCTTGGCCCTTAAAACTAAATAAAAGGTTTCAATTTTGATTTTTTTTTTTAGTTTTAAACATATAAATAAGCCCATCAAAAATATGTGCTTAAAACTTCATTGCATAGACGCTGATTTTAGGCAAAAAAGGACAAAAATCAAAACCTATTTGGAAAGGTAAAAATAATTATTTTATCCACCGACTAAATTTTTCCTAAATTTTCCATCTCAAAGGCTTTAAATACCATTTTCCGTTGCCTTTTTTCCCAAAATAGCATATAGAGTCCAGCAGTCTTAAGTTATTTTTAAGATTACTTAGCTCTGGCACGTAAAAGACAAGAGAAACTAGGGTAGTCTTATGCAGATTTCTAAATGCTACATTACCAAATTAGTATGTAGATCCATCGACAAGCCTAAGTGGTTTGATACCAACGAATCGCGGCACCAGATAATATCATTCGCTATAAAGAAAGCGTATCGAAATTGCACTAATTGTGTCCTTGACTAATGAATGCTTAGCCTCCTTTTCTGCACACAAACAACATCTCAAACGAACGAAAAATAACGCGGATAGAAAACCGAAATTAGTGCGAACTTTAGAGTATTGAAAATATCTACGTGTACATCCACGAGAACACTCACTGTGCTTTTATCAGCTTTACGTCATAGCCAGCGATATTAATGACATCCTCCGGCAAATTCCAAATAGCCAAATAGGTTTTCAAAAAGAGCGTCATGCTTAGCGCCAAACAAACCACAATGGGTATATAAAAGTACAACAAAATGCCCCACAAACGAACTAGAAATTAAAAATAAAAAAGAGAATTATCAGAGTTTTGGTTTTTTTCAAAATATACTCTCACGACACAGAGATTTTACTAACCATCAAACCAACAAAACGCATCGCCGATACCCGGTTTCAGCTGCTGATAAACATTTGAGTCCTGTATGAACTTCAACAGAAACCTCAGCGCCACAGCTAAGGCGAAGGCAAGCATATAGATCAACTTGCGTTTCCAGCTGCTCAGACGTCGCGACTTGAAGTTGTACCAAAAATTCCAGCTGATGATGGTGAGCAAGAAGAACGAAAACATGAGGAAGACGTAAGCAATGAAGCCTGAAAAGAGAACGATGTTTAAACATTTGATCCTTAAAATATTGAAAACCTAAGCTCATACCAATATTGCGGCAGGCAGTTTCAGAAAGATCTAAACGCGAGCGTAGGGCCAGGTATAGCAGCGCTGAGAGCCCGATGATTGTAGAGGCCAGATAGAAGATAAGCGATTCACCATAGCCGCCATTGCGCACCGCTTTGATGGAGACGAGTGTCAGGAGAATGAAGGCGTAGATAAGTATAGCCAATGCGATACCTGTGAAGAAATGGAAAGCTTGTTTTTTAAATTGAAGTCAGAAATAAAATAAGCAAAGCATACAAATCACATAAATCCAGAGGCGAAAACCGCGCGCCGAACGTTCGCAGGTGAGCGGCACCAAGCTCCACACCTTTTTATGTTCCAATGGCGTGAAGCAGTACTGATCGGCGTCCCAAATTCGACCCTGACTGGATAGAGAACCATTCTGAAAAAGTGTTGCTTGATGTTATTGAAGCGAAAAAATCAGACCTCAATGTGAAATTGGGTCGCAATCAAAAAATTACTTGGGAAATGTTCGGTTATTTGTACAATGGCTTTCTGGTGGATGGCTATGAGGCCTCGATCAAACAATGAACTCCAAAGAATTAAAAATGAAACCAAATTGATATCACATCACGCCATCACCGCATCATGTGATATCACATCTTCCCAAACATGTACTTATTAGTTAATTTTTTTTTTTTAGTTGCAAAATCTTACCGCAAAGAGGTCCCACTTCCAGAAGATCTCATTCGCCTCGTTGATGTATTTTCGACTGCAGCCTAACTCGTAGCGCATCACGAACATATCGCGAATGCTGACTATATTGACGCTGCCATTTGCGGCGGTGATTTCGATGTGAGCGTGCTGCGGCCGCTGCTGCTGGCCGCTCAGCGCCGACGCTTGTGACACACAGCTCTGCGTCAGCTCGTCGAACACTTTCGCCGGCGGGCAGCAAAATGTGATGCAAGGCCGTTGGCGGCAAACGCAGCCGCGCATGTGTGGTGGTGCGTTCGAGAGAATGCCGTCTACCACCTGAAATGTGTAGAGCGCTGTCATATTTGCCGGTATCAGCAGCCCTTCGTATGAATAAGAGCCATCTTTGAGCCGGAGTCCTTCGGATATGTTGACAGTTTGTGCATACGCGCAGGGGTAGGTCGGTGTAGGGGTCGCTGCCTGTAATGACCGCACGCACACAAGCAGCGGCAGCAGCGTCAGCACGGCAAGAATTTGAGGTTTTAAGCGGCTAGAAATGGCGGCTGCCATGGCGATTGCGGAACTGCGGAAATTTCTAAGCTGCTAATTACACCAATTCACACACACACACACGCACGCGACGTTCACACTTCATAAGTCGTAGGGTTTTTGTAAACTTCTCATAGATTTTGTCTCAATGTTAATTAAGCGCAACGTGATTGACTTTCGAAAATATTTTTTCGCTAATCGCCAATATTTTATTTTAGCCGCCGAGGTGACGTCACGCTCTCAGGTATTTGTATAATTAAATTTTCTATTATTTTTTTGAATTCATTTGGACATTTTCGGCTACTTGTTGTGCTGTGCACTCGCGTTCTTTCACAATCGCACTGGCGTTCAACGCCGTACCAGTCGTCCGCCTCGCACTGCGCGCCGCCCCGTTCTTTCTATGCGCGTTTCCACCAACAATCGTCAATAGCTTCGCACACGTCCAAAGCGGTCCAGAAAACAAAACAAACTGCCAGCAGACGCTATAGCGACAAGCCACTAACGCTCGCAAGTGCTCATTCTAACAACCACGGACATACTTACATACATATGTACCACATATGTACAGCATATGCATATACGATCTCCTACAAACGTGTAGTTCTACGAGAGGCACCTTGGCCTTCAGCAGCAAGCAACAATTTGTTAACAAACAGTGGCGGTAATTTTTATTGTGGACGAAAATTTTGAAATTGAAGCAGTAAAGCTCACTTCCGGCATAGCCGAAGCACAAACCAGTAGGAATGTGCGAAGCTGAACTAGCATTTACAGTGGTGGCGAGAATATTAGTCATCCCATCAAAAAAAAGCAAAGAAGGATTTCCGCATCCGCTATTTCTAGCGGATTGGCGAAGAAACGTGATCGTAGGCATTTTAGCTGTCCCTCAATTGATTCCTCCTCACTCTCATCGCGGGGACGTCTGCAGGCAGAACTCATTAGAATTCGCCACCATTGGATCATGAGTGCAATAGCGCTGTTGTTGTTTCTGAAGATCCAACTTTGTGATGGCGAAGTCGGGCCAACCCGGCACGGAATTCTCCTGTAATCTTTTATTACATTACTTTGGCTCCTATTGCTTTCAAATGGCTTGGATATCGGCGATGATTCCCTCTTTTCCAGGTGGAACGTCCTCTTTAGTAGAAGACTGGCTGTTCTCTCGATAGCATAAATAACGGCTTGGTAGGCAACAAGACCGTCTGCGTCGTATTTTTCTTGTATACTTGTATTGACGTCTCAATCGCCGAAATATGCTGTGCTTCACCCAGTATTGCCGCATGCCCGAAGTTTATTGGTTTACACATTTGTGTAGGCTTTGCTAAGTCTAAGGGCGCTCCTAACAACTACGTCGTAAACGAAAGATCATGTTAGTTATTGCACTTTTCCAATCATTTTCATTATTTATCCTTTTTTATAGAGCTTTCCACCAGCTCTTTTGCAGGTGTAGTACCTTGGTAGATCCTACTTCATTCCTTTACCAAATCAGTATTTCGCTTCAAAGGCGATTTCGGCAGAGAAAAGGCGGTGAGTTTTATCTTTCGTGTTCTATTTTTGAGGAGTTAACCTCCCTGCCTTTTCTGGTTGGCCTACTTAGAAATGCCGGAAGGCGTAATACTTCCATTATATGGGGAGCGTCACTGTTGGCTCTTCTTCTCGCGAGCCTTATGTCTATAGCTGCGTTGGTTATTTTGATCACAAACATGGAGTAAATCCATACTATTCTAAATCATTGACGGCCATGGGATGAAGAACTAGCGACGTTTCGCGAGGGAGAGGCAATTGGTAAAGGTCTCAAACAAAACCGACAAACGGCTATAGTGCCAAATAAGAAGAAGACGTATGCCATGTTCTGTCGCCGCGGCTCCCACTTCCTACAGATCTACCCTTCCTAATTGATTTTTGGGCTTTGTCCATAGCGTGGATGCTAATACTTTCCCTGATATCAATTAGTCTTTCAAGTGTCTTCAGAATAAAAGATGAATAGATTTCGGTGCATAGCCATCCAGCCTTGCAGCTCCCAGCCTTTACGTAATCTTTTGAGACCTCTTTCCGCTGCACACGACGCCATTATAGGAAAAGCTAGCAAAGCCAAGGAGAAGCGCCAATCTATTATTATTATTAAAGTAAATCTGGGTACTCAGCTCCAACGAAAGCATTTAGGAGTAGGAGTTTTTCCACCAGATCCTTGACAAATAATATTCGATCAGACTAACGGACTTTTAACTATGCCAGCATCGACTCTCCCTATAACTAGCCGTTGAAAATTTCTGTTTGAAATCCCCTTTGAAGGATCTTAAACTTCGCTTTAACTCGCTGCCAACTGATAGATCGGTTATATGGCTTGAGAAATAATGGCTGCGTTTCTTTATACATTCCGGATAATCCCATTTCACAGCCGGAATAAACAGAATGTGTTTGAAATATACGTCAACATATCATCAGGAACGTTCTAAAGAATAAATAAACAAAAAAGTTTATTCCAAACGTTCAGAATGAATAAAGAAATGCAGCCAATATGTTTAAAGAGAATATCAAAGTTGATAGACCTGAATTTTGACCGGTTTTATTATACAAATACTCCTACGTGTAACGTGAAGTTCTTGGTAACTGGGACGAATATTCTTTTCCATTGGTTTACAAACTTTTCTGCATTCTGGTCACACTTCAAGCAAGTAACGCTACTTCAGAAATCAGTTTTTCAATCTTTAGCCAGTTAAAAAATATGGCTGCGTAGTATCAGGCTGAAGGACAATTTTTGGCTAAAAAGTATTATACCTCATTCAATTTCAGTACAAGAAGTGAACGTTTCCAATACCTCGAAATTCGCGCTGATTTTTGAGAATTGTTTGTGTATGTTCTAAAATATTCGTATTTTTATATCGAAGAAAATGCACAACTTCGAACTTGCATCTTATTATACTGAAATTAAATTGAATTGAATTGAAAATGCATGCCCAAAACTTTTCTAAAAAATTTGATTACAAAATTTTAAAATTTGATAGCAAATTTTTGAAATGTTTTAAACTTTTGGCGAATTTCACATTTATTGACAAATTTTACATGGCAAAATTAGTGATTTCAGCATGAGCCGTTATTACGATAATGTGAAAATGATTTATAAAATACTTTTTCTGTTCAAAATTTTCATATCACAAAAATTGAAACCCCGAAAATGACGCAGTCTGAAAAAATCATGTTACTTTTTTTCTTTGTGTAGCAAATAACTGACTGCGCTTTATTCTTACCAATAATGTTGAATTTAAAATTCGCAACTTTTGGTGTTTTTACTTACACTTTTATTTAAATGCAAAACAGATAACAAATTTATTCTTAATTTTAGACTCGCGTCTACAGTATACTCGCATGGATTGTATTCATAGAAAATGCATGCATACTCGTATCTAACTAAGTAATGGGAGTGGTGAGTAAAGCAAAATAAAAAATAAAAATAATAGAAATAAAAATGATAATATGTAAAACTACAAATTATAAATTAGACTTTTTTGTGTAAGCTTAGGCTAAGTTGATAGATAAGTGCATATATTGCATTATGAATATAATTTATCACTGAAAACTAAACCTATTTCAATAGAGACACTCGAATACAAATTATGAGTTACAACAGCTGTTTACTTACGTATTTTTGTGACTCAAATTTTACTTCTATGGTAATGTTGAACTTTTTTTTAAGTTACCTTACACCGCTTAGCTTAACTTAATGAGGACTTTACACGATCGACTGATTGACATCATTCTTTCAAATATTTTATAAATATTATTTTTTATAAATATTTGTAGTTTAGTGTAAAGTTTGAGTGAAACTATGAGTGTTTATCTTAGTGATACATAAATGTTTACTAAGTATTTTGTGATGCTGAAATGAGTTCACTATTCTGCTTTCTATCAGACTGGCATTGACTATAGAAAAATTATTAACCTTTCCTGCTCTTAGCTAAGTAAGCCACTACAAAGTCAGTGGGGAAATAAGAAAATTATATGTACAGAGATATGTTTTGTAGTACAGCTGTTTTGTACTGGCCGAGATACACTAACTTCTTTCAATGATGTTTTATAAAAATCGCTGCGATGATAGACATTTTTCATTTTTTGTGAGTGTCTGATGTCTTTTATGTGATGTACATTTATATAATAATACATATATCAGCATACATATAAATATTCTAAAATCCTAATTATTACTTACAACGTAAATATGACACTCACACAAATATATATATATTTTTTTTTTTCTTAAAATCTACATACATAAGTACATATCGATACTTGGGTGGAAGATAGACATATCTCGGCAGCCATTTCGAAAACGCACTTTCTCAGAAAATTTTTTCAAAAACGCCCTATTTCAGAATTTGGCTGAAGAACGCCCTATCTCAGCACATTTTCATTTGAGAAAGGGCGCTTTTGAACCGAATTTTTCAATCAAATTCTGAAGTAGGGCGTTCTTGAAAAGTTTTCTGCTTAGGGCGTGTTCGAACTGGCTGCTGAGATAGGTCGCTCTTCCACCCAAGTGTCGATATGTACACACATAAATACCAGTTACAACTTATTCACATTTTTTACATTTACATTTTGTGATTTTTTGTTTCTTGCAGGCGGCTGCCAAAGTGTCCTTTACACTCCACGCGCTGATTTTTGAACGGCTGATATTCTATTCTGTTGTATTTTCAATTAGTTTTTTTACTTGTTTCCATTATTTCAAGTCTCTTTGTAGAGACACTACTCATTTGAATTCAATTCCTTTCCATTTCCATTTCTATTTACTTTGCGTTCTGTTCAATTTCTCAAACTGGTTGTGCGCTCCGTTGGCAACATTAGTGGCCTCTCAGCGGGACCAGCGGCCGAGAGCGTTAAATTGCCAACGCTGCTGGACGTTGTCTTCGTTGAGTATTGACTCTGGCGCTGGTTGCTACTGTCACGCGTGGACGAATAGCTTTCGTAAATAAGAAAGAATAATAAAAGAAAACACACAATTAATATAATTAACAACAAACAATTTATTTAATTTAGTATACACTGATAAAACAAAATGGTACAAAATTAGAAGCACAAATTCACAAGTGACGCGTGAGAAGCAAATACATAGATGTGTACATTAGGATGCATCACCAAAAAATGTTGCGGTTTTTCTACCGGAATTATAGAATTTATTTTATTTTAAGATCTCTGTCAAAATATTTCGCAAAAGTGTTAAGATTTGAGTGAGTTAGACCGATTTGAAAATGTCTCCAAAAATTTCATTATTTTGATTACTTTGATAAGACTCTTCTATCCTCTAAATTTTTGCAGGTATTTTCAAGTCCATCTCACGTAAATATTTTTTAGTTTTTTTTTTTTTTTTTGTATGGATAGTGATGCACCCTAGTGTACATAAATACATTCAATATGCACAAATTATACGATTAATGTGTTTGTCAGTGGGGGTGTATGAGTGACGTAAAATCAAATAAATAATTTTTCTTTACTGATGGCCCACACCAGCTATGCTATTCCATTTAGTTAATGACAAAGAATGTAGTCTAGGCCATTAATATGGTGCCTATAAATATCTACATACAAATGTGCTTTAAATATGTTAGTAAGATACTAAATATGTGAAGAAGAAATATTTTATAAAAAAAGCTTTCGACTTTTTTCAATGCGCAAAGAATTTGGGATGAATTAATAGTGATAAGTAGTGCTCGGAGTCTCATGCACTAAAAAAAAAAAAACAAAAAAAAAAATATTGCGCATACAATAGCACTCGAAATTCAAAAATAAGCCCTATAAACGAGTGAAATATGCAATTAAAATTATTTTCCTATTGACAGTTTAATAGTGGTTCAGATGAATGGTTGGCGGTTTAAGGGGATTGTCACCCTGGTGGCACGCAATTAGCAAGGACGTCATACAGAGAGAGGCAGCTGCACTCTGAAACATTCTGCAGGATTGGTTTGCGTCATCCTTGGGAGGGCTGGACACTCGCACAGGAAGTTTTGAGCCAGGGTCATCGCAGCAACTGCGACAGAACCTATTGAAGAGGACAAGCCAATCATTTCGGCATGCACTCCAAGGGGCCATTACCCTGTGCAGTCTGCAGTAAGTTTGTGCGTATCTTTATTGCTCATTCCTAAGAGAGCTTTGGTTTTAAGTGGGTCGTAGGACACCCAGAACTGCCGGGTAATCCTGTACGATTCGGTACGCTTCCACCTCTGCTTGGCCTTGAAGTGATAAATTTCGGTAATTTTCAGTGCGGAGCCGCACCTTGCTAGTTCGTCCGCTGCCACGTTTTCGTAATTGTCTCTATGTCCCGGAACCCATATTTTTTTTTAGGAGATGTAGCAGTCTCTTTGACAAAAGGCGCGTAAAAAAATTTTTCGAAAAAAGATGCTTATGAAAAACTTCTGCGAAGTATGTTAAGAGTTTTTGACGCTAAAGTTTTTTATGCGTCTTTTTTCGCCGTCAACTTTTGAGCTCGCGCCTTTATTCGTGTCTAGTGACGATATTGAGAAAATAAATAATTTAATATTTTTCACGAAGCTCAACTGTGCAAGCTAAATAAAAAAGGCCAAGAGGATTTATAAGAGACGAGCAGGATTCTGTGGGCAGGACTTGTAACTTCAATACATAACGTGAATAGAGGAATGAAAAATGGCAAAATGTTTTTTTAATAAGTGGATAAAATTAGAAATAGTATTTAGTAAGGCATGCTTCTAGACACCACCCTCGATTCAGAACAAATTTCGTTGTGTAGAGTATTATAGCTGAAACACAATGCCGGCGAACGGCGAACTTCGCCGAATAGGGCGATCCTGTCACTCACCGTTCGCCCAGCTATTTCACCTACCTAAACAGAATTAGAGTTGCGTTGCATTTTTAATTTAGGTGTCCATATTTAAAAAAGCGAAACCTTATTTGGAATTGAGAAAACTATAATAAATATAAATATAAAGCAACGGGAAATTATTTTATATTATTTTATTTTGAGCCAAATTCAACCAAACGACGACTGTATTGTTCAACCAACAAAAATAATTCGTGTGATATGTTGTTTTTTTTTTTCTAAAACTTTGAAAGCAAAAAAAACATACGGCCACCTTTGGCATGTACTTACTGCCGCCATAGCCCAGCCGAGCGATAGAAATAAATCTATCGCCATGAAACGCCGCCGAGCGAACTTCGCATTTCACTTCACGCGAATTTCGCCGTTCGTCGGCATTGTGCTGCAGCTATTAGTCGTAACTATTATTTACCCATCAGTCTGTGATGAACTTTCGTATGTTTCGGGACTATATATATATGTAGATTAGTTAGTGCAAATTTTGATATCTTCGATGGGTTGAGGTTAGTGGCGCAACACCGAGCTACATACTTCATTCTGCATGCAAGCCTACCAGCTCGAAATCTCCGCCAGCACAAATAACTGAGCATCTAAATATGTAAGTATGTATTTACCTCTTCGCTAGAACCTCTGATCACCGCGCAGCGCCAGCGACGTCTTCACTTTCATTGCGTATTTATCTGGGTTTTGGCTATAGTTGGAATTGGTTGAGCTGGTGGAGTTCGTGTGGCTGGTACCCGGCGGCCGGCGCTTAAGTAGACTTTCGAGAAATCAATTATAAATAAAACGGTTGGTTTTTTGTTTTTTTTTTTGTTTTGTTAAAGTTCGCTTCTTTTCTCGACTGATGTTGGCAACGAGTAGCGATACAATTTCTTGATGGCGTTTTATACACAAAGTACTTGACTACTGATTAAGTTTACTGTTATTTATGATATATACACTGCAATTCAATTTTGTAAGTAGTTTTGCTTAGCTGTGGCGGGTGGTGAAAAATGAATGGCGGGTTGAAAGTGGCGGGCAACAGGTAGCAGGTATGTACGGCGAGTACGGCATTGCTAGTGCGGCGCTATGGTCACCACTGCGACCTGCTTGCTTTCGCTGCTCTTTGCATTAGTTACTACACTCATTCTAACCGCAAACATAAAAGAGAAAATTTAGAATACAATAAAGTTGGTGAGCGGAAATCGGCGAGGTTAAAGGCCCTACACACGCACTGATTTATCGGCCAGCCAGTTGACCGACCTCCTTAACGAAATTCCCTACAAACGCACCAACCAGTTGGCCGATTTCATTTGAGTAAGAAGAGTTTTTGAACTGTGAACAACACAACAGCATCGATAAACTTTTAAGCTACGCTAGGAATGCTTATCATTTTTATGTATTTATTACTGCTACCGCCCCCGTTTTTCACAAATTATACGCAGTTTCACCAGCGAAACGAACCGAAAAACACCGAGCAACAAGTTGACCAACCTGCCTCAAAATTTTTTTATTTTTCTCCAACCTGACGAACAACTTGCCTACACACGGCTTATTTACCACCAACTTCTAGCGGTTGGCCAACTGGTTGGCCGATAAATCAATGCGTGTGTAGGGCCTTTTAGGCAAGGCTAAGTGGATTATTAAAGACTAATTTCGAGCGTATTTGGTTGTGTATTTGGTAGTATCCATTTGCCTTTTTATACTCAATTCACTTCAGTTTTGTTATAAAGTAATGTTATATTATATGTATTAGGGTAGTAATTAAAACATCAATATCTTAATTTTGTTTGGGGCATCCCTTTATTTGGTTCTGTGTACAAAATAAAGAATTCGGCGAAAATTTCAAAATTTGTAACAACTTCTTAGGAGTCGCTCCCAGCACAGGAAAAATTTACATTTTTTCAAAAATTTGACAAAATTTTGACTTGAATTGTGATAAATTTTGCATATTTTTGAAACTTATTCATATGTATATAGTCATAAACTCGCAGAGTTATAGATGATCAAATTTTGTATTTTTTTCCGGCAGTGACCCAATTTTTTTTTTTTTTTTTTAATTTTGATTTGTACGTATATATAACAAAATGAAGGGGTGCCCCGTGATATTGACATTTTTTAAGGACCACCCTTATATGTACATATGTAGCATGTTTGTTAAATCTGGTAGTAACTGTTCTAAGAAATATCTAAGTATATATGTATTTACAATTTTACATTTATACAACGCGCATGCATATTTACATACATATATGTATATTTTTTGATCTTTCCAATTCAATGGACTGTGAATTTTATAAAAATTTTATTTGTTAGAATTCGAATTAGAACATTTTAATAAGCAAGCGCGTTTGTTTTCAATATTTAGAGTAGCGAAAACCTCTAATTTCCGGCGGTAATATTAAATATCAACCAATTTATAGCCTAAAGTACAAAACTATGGTTTATGCTCTTCCCCGATTGGAAAAAAATTTATAAATTTTCTAGGTATTTATGTATATCGGGATATAAGCGAACCCATTACTAAAGGCTCGCCTGACTAATAAACTCCCACCGGATGCTACTTACGTTTGTTCTAACATGAAGCCTAAACTAAGAAATGGGGAGGTGGGGAGGGGGGACCGGATACTCTTCAGCAGAAATAGAATACGAAGTAACCTTTATGTTGGATAGCAAACTCTCGTGTGCGAGTCAAAGTGGTAGGAGGAAGGAAAAACTGACCTTGAAGTGCTGTTGCATATGCGGGTATGCGCGCTACCGATCTGAGTCCTTACGGCATTCGCCCTGCTGACACTCGTCTGGGTACACGAGAAATTTAAAAGAAAAATGCAAAATATGCACTGTGCCCTAAGCCACAACAAAGCGTTCACCATTTCCGAGATGGTGTTTGCCGCGGGGCAACTTTAGTTTAGTACCTTCGCCTATGACTCCAAGCTTTGGTAACTCAAAACTGCAGCTGCTTGTAGTGTAGAGTTGGAGTAAAGCCCGCATCTTAGGCAAGTCAGCCATTACAACAAATCGTAAGGTGGCTGTGATAGAATGCAAATGAGTTGTTCCTGTTGTAATAGCTAACTAAACCAAGACCATAAGAGGAGGAGCGTTATGGAGCCATGCGCGATCTTTATATATTGAGTATCCAGAACGGAGTTTTGCAAAGGTTATGCGGATCTCAGGATGCAACTCGAGTGCTGCGTTTACAATAGGCGGTAGTTAGTGTCCGATGACGGCAATGTTTAGGCGAGAGTTGGTGAAGGTGTTGATTGAGTCTCGATGAATGCCGTGCCAGGGAGGAGCCTCAGCTGCTAGCTAGAGGTGTATTCAGATGATCTTATGATTCTTGGCTTGGGAGCAATTGGGCCTAGCTGTGAAAATGACGCGCAGACAGATGGTAAATTTATTCTACACTCGATGTGGGACTATAAGCTATTAGGGTATCATTTAAAAAAACATTTGTACAAGACCTAATTAAGTACTTCGATGAACAAAAGTAATGGCTAATCCAATTACACATTTGAATTCCAACGCTTTGAAAGCGAGCAGTTCGTTAGTAGTTATTTATATTTGTACACACACATTGAGCGTAAGCAACCTTCTAGACAGTTTTTGCTCACAAAGACAACATAAAACTCTCACACATTTTGATACAGATAGTATTTTTTAAGAAAGAAAGCCGCTTACTAACATTTCTTTCTGTTCAAGTTTGTGTCCATAATATGAATCTTCAAATTAATTGGAATGAAATTTTTCTGATTTGATGAAGGATCACTCTCTCTCTCTCTCTCTACACCGTATGCGAATGGTGTAAGACTGAATTATTCTCTGTGTGTATCGTATTACTTCTGGGAGCATTGAAAGCGCTTCGTATAACAACTAATTGTCGTATGTGCAGTGAGACATTTTGGAATCGTTGACGCATCGATATGCTACCGGCGCCAAATGTGGTCGATTCGGTTTGACGGTAACTGCGCACGCGCACAGTACTTTTTCATTCAACATTGTTTCATTTCGATTGATGTCGAATTTTATGATTTGTTTGATGACGATTTGTTATGAAGAATCACGAATTTACAAAGACAAAACATTAGACAAAAATAATAATGGAAAAGAATATTTTCGCGACATCACAACTGTTTACAACTACTACAACATATATATAAATTGGTTCAGCGGGTAACTTACCGGTTGGTTATCAAGTGCTTGACCTTCTTCTTCATGACAAACAACATGAATATGAGAAATCCTTGTATGGCATTGCAAATGTCCGAAATGTAGAAGATCTTGGCCCATCCTTTGTCGGCGCCTACAAAATACGACAAAATCTCCATAGACCAAGTCACGCCCATGACAATGAATAGGCGTAGAAAGAGTCCGAATCTGTGAAAAGTGAGAGAAAGTCAATAATCTAGAGTAAAACCACGAACTGGATGTAACAAAAGGAATCGTTTCATTATTATGAGCATAAGTGTGCCACCAGGCTTGTTTATTTGGGTCAGGTTATGTTTGGGAAATGAATTTGTAATCAGTATTTGGAAAGTTATATCCGTTGGCTATATTTTAAAATCGATTCGTATCTAAGCGCGCTTACATAAACTTTCTTTAATTTTAAGCTCGATGAAGCTTAGTAATTCCACCTTCTTACACCCTATGAACTTTTGTGATCAGTAAGATCTAAAGCGTTGGTCGGCACCGTCCTGACCTCGGGCGAAGCTCTTTCAAGCTTTGTAGGCATTTAGTGTAGAAAGCTTGAAAGAGCTTTGCCCGCGCATAAGCTCATACCCATTCTCGACCTAAAGCAACGCACCAATAAAGGTGTACATCAACCCACAAATCGCCAATATGGTTCGACTACGCTGTCATTAGTTCCAGAGCCTTAAAATGACGTCTTTTCGACCTTGTCATAGTCTATTTTCTTATTGAGTCTTGGAATCACTGGAATATGGGTACGATGAGCTATGACACTTTTTCTTATTCTCTGAACAGGGAATTCAGCGGCTTTTGAAATATCAAGTCGAGGGAATGTTAAAGGTGTATATGTGTATGTACCTTCACATCCATACGCGAGACGGTCGATGTGTTTAAAGGGAAGATAAATTTAATAGGTACAGTCCCTTTCTTTTAGAATGATTTATTTCTAATAGAACTATCCATGCCTGTCAAGGAGTCTAGTCAAAAACAACAATAAAAAATCGTGTCTAAGCCTCTTAAATACTTTTGACAGATCGAGGCGATTAGATTTATGAAAAGTCGTTTTGGCTCTTACTATCCATTCGGGAAGTTGTACTCCTACTCTTCTTGATTAGTAACTCAGACGATGACGACAGCGGTTCCAATTGTTTTGGATTATCTTAAAACGCATTTTTCACAAAACTCACTTATCCTTTTCGGTACGCAAATTCTTCGTACTATCCTCGCGCGCCATTATTCGTGCCATTTCACGCTGCACCTTGTGTATCTTCATGGCGGTCAAAACGAACATTATGCTGTTGGCCATAATTATCAGTACAATGGGACCAAAGAAGTATATCATCGCCGACCAAGTGCGCACTGAAAAAGAAAAATTCACGTTTTAAATAAAGACTAACCTAAATGAAAGTGAAAATACTTACTATCCAACCAGCAAAACTCCCCGCCACCAATGCCGGGTTTCAGATAGTCGGGTATATCAGCGACCTCCTGTGCATACCAAGTGAACACCAGAAAGGGCACAGGGATGCCCCAGGCGTATAGTGAGTAAATAAGGTAGCGTTTTTTCTCCTGGAATCGATTGATGCCCCGTGTGCCACGGAAGTTGTGCCACAAATCGAAGCTGATCACACTCAACCAAAAGAATGCCGCCATAAAGAAGTAGTAGGCCACATAACCGAGGGTCTTGCAAAATGCTATGCTAGAGTAGTAGTCCATGCGCAAGGAACTCATAGCCAGCAGCGAGTAACCGATTATTAGACCGATCAAGTAGCAGACCAACGACTTGCCGTGCTGATTGCGCAATTCCGGAATGCTCAGATAGACGACAATGGTGAGTATCATGAAAGGTATGGAGAAAAGCATAGCTGGTGGGGATAGAACGTAGAAATGATTTTAAAACATAGAAGTCATTCGAAAGCGAACAACTTACCATACGCATTAATAGTCTTAATTGTGCTGAAGTCCGTATCGTAATTGCAATTGGCCGGATTGATGATGTACATAGTGTCCGTGTAGTTCGCCACAGTCGGATGGAAACAGAATTCGTTCTTACTTAGATATACCATGTCGTCTTCGCGGAGTAGCGTACCATTCTGCAAAGAAATAATTCGTTTGACTTCCATATGCATATGTATGTAGGTACATCGGTATGTCACTCACCTCGAACAGTTTCCAATCGTCAAAGGATCCCAACTCTGGCTGCAGTGAGTACATGAATTCGCAAGGGCGAAAACTTTGCACCGCAAATTGTTTGAACATGTCGACCGATCTCAGCGTCTCATCTGGCAACGTCAAATTCAGCAGCGGCTGTGGCCACTCGTAGTCCGTGTTGTTAACGCAGGCGCTCTCGTTGGTGCTGTAGCTGGCGCCCCATGGACAGCAAATGTTTATGCACGGCTTCAGCTTGCAGATGCACGCACGTGCATGTGGCTCGACTTCCACACGTCGCACCAAGTCCGTATAGATGTAATCATACCAGCCGACCAGTTGTGGTGGGATCAATACGCCGTCGTGCAGATAGGATCCGTTTGCGAACCGCAGATCGCCGGTGACATTGACTGTATCGAAGAATGTGCAGGGCACATGGATGCCATCGCGCTGATGGAGCTCCTCATTGTATGCGCTGGCGAGCGGTGGAATGCAAAGGGATATAGTCGAGCAGATCAAGGCGACCAGTAGTGGATATCTATGAACTTGTGATTGGGTGTAGAGCTGCGACATGGCGACTTAAATGTGCGATGGCTGAAAAGAAGTGAAAGGGGAGAAATTGTAAATTATCGGGCGAATATTATTTTGTCAGTTTAATCAAATCAAAAAGGTTATCAGTCACGATTTCTTAAATATCCCTGATTAAAATCTGCTGGATATAATGTACAATGTACATTCTTCTCATCTATTATATTTAGTTTTAAGCGTACTTATGGTAAGGTCAGTTTGGCATCCAACTACCAGTCAAGGATAGTCCTAAAACATTTCGCCCTGTCAGTGGATGTAAGTGAAATACTACTGAGTGAGGTAAGCTGAAAATTTTGCTTTTACACCCACTGCAGCCTATTTACCAAATGAACGCCTTCTAAAGATGGATCTTTTATCCACGTTCACAAATAACGGAACGCTTTGGTGACTAAATTCAACTACCCTTGCATGTCACCTTACGGATCCAACAGAAACATTCATCTGGCAATACTCGTAAGTGCTGCCACTCAGAAAGAAGACTACGGTTAATATCATAGAAGCGATAATATGAAATACTTGGAAAATTGTTTTTATGCCCGAGTTATGTACGTTCATACTTATAAATGTGTATATAAAAAAGTTATGGTTTTAATTTATCTTCAAGTAGCATCGAATATTCAAATACACCCAACATAAGGGCCTGTAAGTTCTCCCCAAGCAGCCCTTCGTTCCAATAAAAAACAATTCAATTCAGAATGGATACTCTCCCTCTAAAAAAAAAAACAAAATAACAGTAAACTCTAAGCGCAAATGTCAAGCGATTATTGACGATCTATTAGCCCTACATACGTGTCCCTTAACTACCTGTCAATTTATCCGTATCAAATGACAGCACGGTATGCAACGGTAATTGATTAGAAAACGTGTGAAAATAAAATTGAAGAAATATGAAAAAATACGCAAATTAATTTTAGTTGTACTGCAGGTCGGTCGCCGATGGGCATTAAGTGGCTTTAGCACACAGCTAGTGTTAGTCCAATGCCATAACCGTTATTAAATTATGATAATATCAGGAGATAAGTATGTTGTAAGTATTGTGCAACTAAGTAATTCTATTGTTTATCATAATTTAATGTGCCTTCAGGCAATTCGAATGGCGTCACCAGTTCTCATTTATTAGTAAACAGGAAAGTGCTCACGAACTTAACCTATTCCTTTGGGGGGG